CCAAGCACAAAACACACACAAGTCCAACTCTTCTCCCAACATTAGTGGGGATAGCAGGGGGAGACGTGGGCGAAGTGTACGTAGAAGGGCTGGTGGGTGTCGTAGAGGCAGCAGGGGGGTAGTGATGATGAGTCTGTCAACCCTTTGCAAAATGGAAGGGGGGGCAGGGGAACACGAAGTCGCAGTGTCCATAGGAGAGGTGGACGTGGTAGAGGCAACAGGGGAAGGCAGAACAGGGCTGGAAATGATGACGATGATGATGGTAATGGTGGCTGGGCTAACTTGAGAGATGAGGAAGTATATCAGGAATGGATAAAGTCCTTTGATGAGCAAGTTGGATATCGTGGTGACAGAGAGCTTAGCACTGATTCAAGGCCTATAGATTTTTTGTCCCTCTTTCTGACTGATGATTTCTGTCACATTACAATGGAGACAAATCGGTATGCTCATCAGTATTTAGGCTCTCATGAACTAATGCCAAGTTCACGGTTTCATGAATGGTATGATGTCACTGTCCCTGAAATGAAAGCCTTCCTGTCACTCCATTTGAGCATGGGCCTGGTACATAAATCAGAGATCGAGGATTATTGGGCAGAATTTTGGCCAACTTTTACACCAGGATTTGGGAAAGTGATGTCTAGGAACAGATTTGAAATGAACCTGTCTTTCTTCCACTTTGCCAATAATGAGGAGTATGTTGAGAGGGGCCAGCCAGGTTATGATAGACTGTTCAAGGTGCGCCCAATAATTGACCTGATCATTCCACGCTTCTCAGCTGTCTATGGCCCACGCAAACAACTGTCACTGGATGAAATGACCATAGCTTTCAAGGGAAAGTGCACCTTGAAAATGTATAATCCGAACAAACCGGACAAATATGGTTATAAGGCATTTGTTTTGAGTGAAGCCAAGTCAGGATACGTTCTGCAGTGGTCTTTGTACACTGGACAGCATGGTGATGAGGTCACTGATTTAGGTGCCACCCATGTTCTAGTTCGGCAGCTGATGGCCCAGCACATAGGGAAAGGGCATGAGTTGTACATGGATAGCTACTACACGTCACCAGCTGTAGCAACTGAGTTGGCAAATGTTGAAACTGGTTTGTGTGGGACAGTCAGTAGCCAAAGGCGAGGTATGCCAAAGGCCCTGAGAAAGACCGAGTTGCCCTTGGCCAGAGGAGATGACCCAGTGTTCATGAGGCGTGGCAAAATGTTGGCGTGTGCGTGGCATGACGTAAAGCCTTTCCATTTGTTGTCCACTCTTCATGGGAACTCGTGTGTCCGGAAACGGATCAGGTCCAAACATACAGACAGTGGGTTTAGGGATGTAAACAGACCTGTGTGTGTGGATAGGTAAAATTCATTCATGGGGGGAGTAGACACTGCTGATCAGAGGATGAAAACCTACCTCTTTCCACATCGGTCAAAGAAATGGTACAATCGTATAGTGAACGCCATTCTGAGCATAAGTATGGTCAATGCCCATATCATTTACAGCAGCATGACTGCCGGTCCACACAAGCCACTGAGGGCCTTTGTGCAGGACATCATCACTGCTTTGCCTGAGGGCTTCTCCAAGAGAGAAAATAAAGTATGGGGAAGGCGTTCAGCAGAGGGGGAGAAATGCCACAGAGGCTTACCGAACGCCACTGGCACCGTGACACTGGCGATCGTCCAGACTGCATAGTTTGCTCCGATCGTACCCGTCCTAAAGGTCGTCATCAGACACAGTACAGGTGCAATCAGTGTGGGGTAGGCCTGTGTGCTGTGCCATGTAATGAGAGGTTCCACACTCTGACAAACTATAAACAGTGTCATCTGGATAGATAGGCACACATTAGGCCTCTGTAGGCACAAAAAAAAAAAAAAATCATAAAAAACGCCTACTGTTTACATGAGTTTTGTGGTGTAGTAATAGTTCTAGTTTATGACTGTTGGCTTACAATTTACTTTTTCCTTGTTCATTTGGTTTGGGACAACATAACAAATAGATGGAGGGGGGTGAATCTGATGAAATAAGTTCAACTCTCTTTCAAAATATCAGGTATTTCATGAAAATTACATAATCCAATATGGCCGCCGCCATATGACGTCATAATATGCAAATTAGACGGGAAAATTTACTCCCTAGATAAACTTTAGGTCATTCTCAATATTTGTCTCATTTACACTTTGTCTCTATCTCAAAGCACTTTCAAGCCAGAGCCCTCTGAAATTTAGATGTCAAAATCCAGTATTTTTAAAAATAAAAGCCGGCGCCTAAAGGGTTAATACTACACATAACTATATGTAAATGGTTACATTTATAGAGCACTTTTCTACCTTAACGGATAAAGCGCTTTACAGCACTGCCTCTCATTCACCCATCCACACACCGATGGCAGCCGAGGTGCCGTGCCCATCGGGAGCCACTTGGCATACAGTGTCTTGCTCAAGAACACTCACATTGACAGGAGGAGCCAGCGATCGTACCGCTAACCCTGGAAGTAATGGACAAACTGCTCTTCCTCCTGAGCCACAGCCCCCCAACCCCCGCGTGGCATACCCAGCCTCATAACGAGTCCTGTGTCTGTAGTGCAGGGGGAGGATGTTGACTCTCAGTGACCACGTGTCTGTTTTTATTTCTGTGTTTTATAAAATGGTGTACTCCCTGTTGACATTCCCTTCCCCCTGCTTCCCTACATGTCTGACCCTTTCACTGTCCTGTTACTGTGCAAGTCTGTGTGTGTCAGAGAGAAAGCGAGAGAGAGAGTGGTTGTGTGTAACCCAGGACAAAGATGATGGAGTTACAAAAGAGCACCTAGGAGATCAAAGTAATTCATTTTGCACCAACAGAGGACAATGAGAGGGTGAAAGTGTGTGCGTGTGTGTGACTGGAATCTTGGTCCAACAAAAGTTTCTGGGGATTTCAGGGTAATGCATCAAAGAGACTGTGAAACACACACACACATACACAAACACACAATGTTTGGCATTAACTAGGCTTGACTAAGCTCTGAAAACAATGTGTCATGGGAGCTGAGCTGGAACATGCTTTTGCAGCATTCAGAAGTTGCATCAGCTCATCTGTCTGTCTGTTTGTGTGTGTGTGTGTGTGTGTGTGTGTGTGTGTGTGTGTGTGTGTGTGTGTGTGTGTGTCCAAGGGATGTCTCAGTCAAACTGCAACAAAAATTCACCCTTGTCTGTATGTGATTTATAAGATAAAGTAAAAAAGGAGTGTGAGGAGGGAATATTAAGATTCACTCCCAAGTCAAACTGAATATAACATACATTTGTGCCAAGAAATCAATATCTATGTTCTGAGAGATTTCTCTACAAAATCCACTGTAACACTTCTGAACCAATGTTCATGGAATTTGGTTTGTTAAAAATGTGAGAAACTGAACCTGATACTGGTTAGCCTGAACTTCCACTGGGACATGCAGGCTGCAATCTACGAACAGGCAAAAACAGGTGTAAATTATTTTGAATTTTAGCTTTAGTTTCTATAAAAATGTAGATTGCTATACATATTATACTGATCTGCCTGGCAGCTTGTTTTTGTGAAATGTGAACTTTGTTTACAGGAAAACATAATTCATCTGGTGAAATAATTCCCCCACAGTTTTTCTTGCCAGTGTCCTGGTTAGACAGTAATTTGTAGCTACCATGTGTTAATACTTCATGCACCAACTCACACACACTAGTATACGTGTATTCATTGTTTTCATTCTGTCTTATAAAGTGCTGGTCTGACGAGCAGTGGCTGTTTGTTTTTTTATCAGTGCGTGTTGCATATGACTGCAGCAAGTTGTGACTGACTGTTCGTTGGCATAGAGCTGATCAGATCCGCCCACAGTGGAATTCCTACAAGTACCCAGTATCAGGTTCAGTTTCTCACGTTTATAACAAAACAATCAATGGAATGACACCGGGACCTCCCAAGTGCAACCATACGGAAGATGATTAGGGCTCAGTGAGTCTTGAGAGTCGGGACAAAACCAATTTTAAAAAACAATTTTTTTAAATGCACACTATATTAATTACAATTATATGTTTCTGCAGAGAAAGGTCTTAGCTATTTAAACATGTAAAGGAACAGGTTCTAAATAAAAATTATTATTATTATTTTAACAAATAAACATGTTTCCCTTCAGAACTGGATTTGTGTCAACTCTGTCTGACACACTAAAAAGTATACAATTTTAATTCTTCCAATCCAACAAGAATCAAAGGTTCTGAAGTATGTTGTAATAGTGTTTACTTACTCTGATATGTAATAAAATACAATATATAAACTTAAGTTGTGATTTCACACTATTCTAAAAAACCCAGATTTCTAAATATTTGCATTTTCAAACTTTGTTTTTAACTTCAATATTGTAAAAACAAATTCCTTAAATAAATAAGACATAAGAGGATGTAGATCAGACGGTCCTTTATTACAAAAACAACATAAACTGAAGGAAGAATTTTTTTCCCCCCAAAAAACCAAAAACATACATCTGACGCTGTTGACGAAGATCTGACGGTGTTGACAAAAAATGTGTGTGCATTGCTGATTATTGAACAAATGTGCTTTTTAAACACTACTACTAAAACTACTCCTTGTTATTAGAGTATTGAACTTACTGTAAAGCAAACTATAATAAACATATTGCACATACACCGTTTCCAACTATTATAAATTACACAGTTTCCAACTATTATATACAAATCAAAAAAACAATAAGGGAAACCAGGGGCCCTCCTCCCCCTCTGTTTTTATCTACCTCCCCTACACCACTTCCTGCTCTCCTCTTTCTCATCCACCTCTTCTCCTCTTCCTTTCCTCCTTTGTCAGTAGTCATTTACTTGGTCTTCATCATGATTTTCTTTTTTAAAGTGGCGTGTGTGTGTGTGTGTGTGTGTGTGTGTGTGTGTGTGTCTGTAGCTTAAAATCAGGTTCAATTAGCTAACTTAAGATTTCATTTTTGTCTAACCTGCGCTTATGCCTTGAGCAACAGGCTTTATGAAGTCCATCACATCAGGGGCTATGCTGTAGATCTCTCGTGTTCTTAATTGGACTGGTGATGCATTTCCCATTAGTTTCACTATGATGTCTTCAACTGGGCAGAAACAGACATCCTTCGTGAGAAGCTTAGGCTGATACTTTGCTGTTGGACCATGGAGATGCAGAAACTCCACTTTCACATCTTGATGCTCAGTATCCACAGCAATGGTCTTGGCTAGCCACCAGTGGTCATCATATACTAGTGCTAGCCAGTCTCCATTATTAAGGCTGCTAACAGTCGTTACTGTCACAATACCCTCAGGACCTTTCAGAGGCTCCTCATCCAACTCCTCCTCCATCACATCTTCCATTTCCATATCCTCTTCCATGTCCCCTCCCATCTCTTTTTCCATCTTCTCCCACAACATGGCCAAAGGTCTTTTCTTCCCTGCCCTCCTTGTATCACTCTGCTGTTCCTCTGGGTAGCCATGGAAATTGAAGGTAGCTGGGCAGAAGCACTGACAAACCAACATCTTGCTGCAAAAGCAGGATAGTTGTCTGTGGTGGATCTTGTTCTCATGTGGGATGACCTGGTCTTCAGACTGTTTGAGACCTTTTCAAAGAATGTGTGTCCATCTGCCACATCATTTCCTCTCAGGACCAGGTTGTCAGCTGTTCTTTTCACTGTTCCGCCGATGCCGTCTGGTGCGCCCTTACCATGGGAAGTGGGGAAGAAGTTCCATGTTGCTCTTTCAAACCCCAGTGTAGGGGGGATACAAGACAGAAGGAAAAAATTCTTCTTGTTCTTATATTGTTTACTTGGACCATCAGACCAAAAGTGCACGGTGGTAACCTGTGGATATCTCGTTTTGATATCTTTTAGGACTGGATCCATGTGTGTCCAGATTGCTGCAGCATCCTGTCTCTTTGACTCTGAAAGTGTGCAAAACCCTGCCTTTCCACCCTTAATGTAATACATTCCGGTATGTAGCGTTATCTGTGGCAGATTTTGTCCAAAATGGCAGGCCTGTACTTCAGATTGATACTTGCATCTCCAGGATTCTGAAAAGTCAACGTGAACAATTGCTGTACTTTCTTCACAAGTCTCAATTGTGTTTCTGTATGCTTTTGACTGGTTTTGCACTAAACACACATGTGTTGTGGTTTCATTTCTGAGTATTTGCTCATAGAGTTTGATGAGCTCTGAAAGACTGCCACTGTGTTGGACGAGTTTAGTGTTGATGTGGATTCCATTGACTGTGTCTTCTTGAACTCTCTCCCACTGCTTCCACTGAACATGGATTTTGTCTTGCTCTTGGGTTGTAACTGTACCTTTGTTTATACATCGTGAGTAGGTGCGAAGAAGGCAGGCCTCACTTGCTGGAGAGCAACAAACTAATTGAAAACTGTCATCCAGTTTGTTTGACTTCACAACACCAGACGCTCTAAGGACCTCGAGCATTAAGTATGCATTTTCATGCTTTTGACACAGACATGTCTTCCGATCAGATGCTTTTGGTGCTGTAATATAGAATGGCTTCAGAGTACAGAAAGAAGAATAGCTCAGCTTCACAGTGGGCTTCCTAATGAGGAAATCAGTGTGGAGGTTGATCATGGAGTCGGCCAGGATCATTCTCTGCTGCTTCATCTTATTCCTAGTGATGGTGTCAGTCTTATCAGTGGTCACGTGTGCAGAGTTCAGGAAGAAATCCTTAACAGTCTCTGTTATACCCTTTAGGAATGTTGCCTTTTTCTTTGTCTGTTTCTTTCCTCTCATTAACTTGTAGGTTATCCCAAACTGGTGGATTTGGTGAAGGAGACGATACTTTTTGAGAATCTTGCCTGATGACACACTTAGTGCTGGTTCCTGACGCTGTGGCCCAGGAGTTTGTTTGTTTTTCTTCAGCTCTCTTCTGAGGATGTTGTGGAATAGAAGGGCTCTCTTGATTTTGGGATTCCTAATTTTGCTTCCTGATAGCATCTTCTTTGTTTCTGTGCCTGGGGAGTCAAGTGGTGTTTTATTTGTAGCCTTTCTTCTTCGACATATTTTTTTTCTCAGTTTGTTTCGTTGCTTTGTTACCTTCTTAAGCTTCTCTTTCAAAGTTTTTATTTCTCTTGAATGCCTTTTTCTCATTTTACTTCTCTCCCTTTCCTGTCTGAGAGACTGTCTTCTGTGTCTGGCATTGTATTCTTGAATATTCTGATCTTGTGGACTATCTGGAGGGGTGTATGCCTCCAGCACTGCATCTTCATTGGATCTTTTCTGTCTGGACCTTTTCTGTGCCTCTCTCCAATACCTTCTCCAATTCCTCTTTGCCATGTCTCCCATCTTGTCTATTTGTATTATTTTTTTTGTCTTTAACTCTCTTCTTCCACATTTGTCTTTCCTTCTCTTGCATAGCATATTTGCTCTCTTGGTCACTGTTTAATTTGTCTGTTCTCTTTCGTTGGTACTCTCTGCTTCTTCTCCTTTGCTCCTCAACTGACAATTTCTGTCTAGCCATGCTTTCCTAAAATACAAATTGAAATAATGAAAAATGTACTTGAATAAGACTATAGAATCAGATTTTTATTTACTTGACATGATTGATTGATGGATGGATGGATGGATGGATGGATGGATGTAAAATCCTCAAGGTGCGGTATGTATTTTCATAACCAGATGTTGTGAAAATCTACACACTGTCTTCTCATCTCTCTCTCTATCTCTCTGTCTCTACATATATAAATATATATATATTAAAGTACTGGGAAAGTTACACGTTACACAATAATAAGCAGACCACTGCCTGTCCATTCTCTACAAGTCAGATGTGTATGGTTAAATAATGTAATGCATGCTATGTATGTACATTTATGTGAAAATAAAACCCTGAAATAACATTTTAACCCTTTACTGTATTCACAAATAATATTATATTAGCACATTAAGAGGTTATTGGTGGATTCGTCAACTCCGTCAGCTTACAGATCAACTCCGTCAGACAGAACCTGATGGATTTGATGTTTGACGGTGTTGATGTAAGGGCATGTATTTTCCCGCCAAAACATGTATTGTACACTGCAGCTAGCTAGTTTTTCCTCAGTTGCTAGCTGTCCCAATAACCTCACTAAAATGCTTAAATTCAATCCACTATGGTTTAAAAAAATATCTTAACAGAAAGATGGTATTGACATGGTCCAGCTGTGACCATAGGAATATTGACATTGTTTGTCTAAAATGTAAAACGTACCAGAGCATGTGTGGTAGTGTTGCATTCACCACAGGCAGGGAGATGTAAAGGGGTCCTCAGGGATATAGCTGACCATGCAATTTCCTGATTTAATGAGGCTTATGAAAAAATCTGACGGAGTTGACACAACTTTGATAGGCAGATTTTTATGGAAAATATTGTTTGACGTTCACTTCATGCATTGTTTTTTATATTTATACCCCTTATTTTTTATTTGATATATATGTTTTCACAATTGTAGAGCTTTTTTAAAGTTTTTTGGGATGGTTAATATTGTGACCTCTTGCTGAGGACAAGTGCAATAACATGGACCTTCTAACCACAGACCATACATTTAAACAAAATTTCCCCAAAAAGATAAAAAAGTATATTCTAAAAATCACATAGGTATATACAATTCCTTTAGATTTAACTTTGTAAGTATGTCAATCATGATGAATTTCTTCATTTTTGATATAAATTAGACTTTTCTATGTAGGACATGTTTTGTCCCAACATCTCTCAGTTCTCAGTTTAAAGTAAAAAAAAGACAGAATTCTAACTTTTATTTTTCTTATACTAAAATATAATTTTCACATTTGGCCCTAATCCTCTTCTGTACAACAACCCAAACAAGATCCCAAACAAAACCAAATCTAAAGTAGTTTTGGTGCCTAAACCTAACCAAACCTTACTTTTGTCACACCAGCGTAACATACTTAAGGTCATGTTATGAGGATGTGTTACTCCCAAATGTCCAAAATGGATTTATCCTCTTGAAGAATTGAACGTTTTGCACAGTTTTGCCATGGATTCATTATAGCTTATATCCCCTGAGAAGTGAGGAGAAAGAGCCCAACAGTGCCTCCAAATCCCCATGTCTCTTAGATTGCTGTTGATGTGTTGAAAGCTTAGTTGACAGTTAAGTTTCAAAATGTGAACAGTGCCTTGGAAGGACATTTGGGGAATCTGTCACACTTCCTCCTTCACTATTCAGGACACAAAAATATGAACAGTGACACCTCATAAAAACCTTTGACATTTTGCGACAAGTTTGAGATGTGACTCTCCACATCCACTTTTGTGTTGTTGCACTGACAACATAGTGTTTGTGTGTGTATAGGTGTGTGTGTGTGTGTAGGGGTGTGTGTGTGTGTGTGTGTGTGTGATTTGTCTGTTTGTTTATGCTCAACCAAATGTGTCGACCTGAGAACATCACTGCTTGAAAATCTCAGATAACTTCTGCATGCTTGTGTGTGTGTGTGTGTGTGTGTGTGTGTGTGTGTGTGTGTGTGTGTGTGTGTGTGTGTTTGTGTGTGCTCTGGGCCAGCTCATGCTCCAGTACATTTGGGTTACATCATCACACATCAAAACGAAAGCATCTCAAAGAGGAGGAGAGAGAAAGAGTGAGGGAGTATACTTTTGATCAAGGATGGCCTCAACTGTATGTCCTGGAGTTGAACTGTGCAGGTCTGTAGTCTGTACGTCTGGAGGCTCGTCCACACAGACAAAAAGAGTGAAAAGTGCACAAGTACGTGTAATATTCCAATACTTTGTTTTTAAGGGCGTAACCATGGTATAGACAATGGGGTGTCCAAATGTGAGTCCTCAAGCAGATTTTTTATCAGTGGATTTCCCACAGTTCCAGGATATTTATAAAAATTTGCACAAAGAACGTAGTTTTGAACCTACAAATCCACCTTGTGTTTTTGAGTCTCGATCGTCAAATACAGATGCTTTGGGACCCTGGGAATGAGACTCAACAATCAACTGACTCCAAAGTGTCTTTCTATCTTTCTCGACTCTGACTGGTTGTTTTCATTAAGGCCCGGTGGATTCTTGTAAATGTCATTAGGAGCACTAGGAGGAGCCAGAAGAACCTCATTGTTTCACAGATTATCTGTCTCATGGATAGAGTGAAAGTTTCAGCAAACATATTATTTTTTACTGCAGCTTTAATGTTGTATAACTTTTAAAATGTTTTTATCATTGTTTGTCTGGTAAAGCACTTTGTAACTTTGTTTTGAAAAGAACTATATCAGTAAAGTTTATTGTTATAGACTAAAACAAAATCAAAAATGATCCCAACAGCTCCACTATAAAGAACATTATAAATCTGGCATCATAATATGAAAGGGATATTTTATGGCATTCTGGTTATAGTTTTGCTGTGAAAGCTGTGTCCCTCATAAATGCATCATTGAATGTCTGTGGTTCATTTTTGTATGGAAAGTCTTGCATACCATAATACTACTTTAAACTGTGTTTGTATGTGTAGGTGTGAGCACTCCAACACTGATACTGTAGCTTTCTCTCTCTGATGTGAAACTCTTGTTGACCTGTGTACAGGCTGTTTTCACTGCAGCAGTTGGACCGACACTTGAATACAACAGTGAGTTCAAAGGCTTCAAAAGAAACAAAAGATCTGACTTTAACTCTTTGTAATAAATATCTTCTATCTCACCACATCTTATTCCGTTTTTTTCCCCTAGCGCTCCGTCTTCCATGATTGTTTCGTGGGCAAAGAGATATTGAAAAGCCCAGAAGCTGCTCTTCCTATTATTGATTTTTTGTCATGTTGGCAATCGTGGAGTTCACGCTCATTTTACTGTAGGGCCCACTATCTGTCGCTTTAGTTAAGAATATAAGCCAATGGGCTAAAAGATGGCACTCAGTAACATAACAGTAATAACAATGGGCTTTGACGTGATTTAAAGGATAAGAGAGCTCAACTAAAATATGAGGTCCTGGAACAGCGCACTTACACTGCTGTTGCCCTTTGCTGATGTTGTCTCAGCAGTGGAGTGGCAGCGAGGCTGCAGGCTTGAAGGCTTGCAGAGTGTGGAGAAATGTCAGGGTTTTTTCTCTGTTCTGCACTCCAGAAATCCCTCTCATCTCTCTCAAGCCCTGACAACAGTGATGTAGTCTGGAAATAAATGGTGGGTAAACCATCAATATGACCAAAAACCCATTGCAAATGATCTTAAAGGAGTGTTTTGTGAATGTATTTGAATAAGTGAGAGAAAGCATGTATGTAAGTGTGTGTGTGTAAAGACACATGCAATATTTGTGTGGGTGTCCATGTATCTGTTAGACCATGATTCTGTCTGTGCTTGTGTTCGTCTATCCATGTGTGATTGTGTGTGTGCGCTTTTGGTAAGTAGCAGTTAAGTTGATGTGTGGCACCCATGGCTAAGTAGTAGAGTCTGACCTAGATAGACCGGAGCTGGACAGGATCGGTCATGTGTGTCTATATAGATACATTCAGTATGTGTGTGTGTGTGTGTGTGTGTGTGTGTGTGTGTGTGTGGATGTGGTAATTGGTGAAGTAGTTGAAGTGTGGTAAGGAGGGCTGAGCTACCCTCTGACCTCTATAAACGGAGAAATGTGGGATCATAGATCACAATAAAATATCAAACATATTCAGCTAATGCACATCTTGTACTGAGACATATGGAGGGATCAGATATTCATGGTCCCAGAGGATTAACCCCAACGACTTTGGTGATCTCTTAGTACCACTTACTTTTTGTAATTCTTGTAGCTTTTCATCTAGCACCACCATCAGCTGTAAAACTAATGACATTCCTGTCAGCCTCAGCTATACTTAACTTTGTCTTTACTACTAATTATATTATCTTATACACCACCATGTTATTGTTACATTGACTTGCTTTATATTCTACTTATATTCTACTATATATCTATATTACAGACAAAACTGAGTTACATCATATATTAGTCTAGTGTTTGCTGTGCATTACAGAAAAACATGTGACCAGATATACATGTAATTTTTTTTGTGAAAACGTGGTGCCATGATTTCCACTTGCAGCATGTGGTAGCATCTTTCTGACATGTGGTCACATGAAAACATGGAAAATTCATATATGTGTTTTTCAAAGACTTGTTGACTCTGCTGTGATTGATACAGTAGTAGCATCAAAAAGCAGTATACTGTATACTGTATTTATTTATTTTATTTTCTACACTTACCTGTCATTGTGCTACTGCAGCAACCAGATTCTCCTGCTGGGGATCAGTAACAGTTTATCTTTTCTTAATTAGCCTATATTAGAATGCTAACACATTAAAGTGGAAAACATGGTAAATATTAAACCTGCTAAACATCAGCATACTAACATTGTAATTGTGAGCATGGTAGCAAGCCTGTGTTAGCATTTAGGGTGCTACCACCAGGTCACAGTCACCTTTCAAGCTGACGTCGATCAGTATTACATATATGAGTATAGTAAACAACATCACAACAGGAAGGAAGTTGTAAAGTAGAAAATTCCACCTCTTGCTTTGATTGGCTGCCTGGGCCAACTGTGACATTGATGAGTGATGCGACTTCACGCCTTGCACTGACAAGTAGTAATTCATTATTATCTTAACTTTTATACGCATTAAAATACACACTAAAAACAGCTACAAAAATGTGAAAGAAGAGCACACATCTGGCGCAGTGCACCATATAAAAAACAAGGGTTTTGCAGGTGATGCGTTTTTAGTGATGCCTCTCTGCGTGATCGGGCAGCGTAAGGATTTGAGCGACTTTGACAAGGGCCAGATTCTGATAGCTAGATGACTGGGTCAGAGCATCTTCAAACCTGCAGCTCTTGTGGAGTGTTCCCGGTCTGCAGAGGTCAGAACCTATCAAAAGTGGTCAAAGGAAGGAAAAGAACTGGAGACAGGGCCATGGGGGGCCAAGGCTCATTGATACACGTGGGGAGTGAAGGCTGGCCCGTGTGGTCCGATCCAACAGACGAGCTACTGTAGCTCAAACTGCTGAAACAGTTAATGCTGGTTCTGATAGAAAGGTGTCAGAACACACAGTGCAGAGCAGTTTGTTGGGGCTGCACAACATTCTGACCACCAGGGTGCCCAGGTGGTCAGAATGTTTCTGACATGCTGTTTCCAATCTTTTCCTGTCTCAATGATCTAGTATGTGTCATTAATCCAACTGTCGCAAATTGTACTATTGAGTTAGCTACCACCTCTCCTCCTACTTATCTAGTATGTCTCTCGACCAATGCTGAAGGTTTGCATGGTATACAGAGCCTGTACATACAGACACACTTGTACAGTGAACTTTGGGAGAGCAGGCAGGGATGCACAAACATTGTGCAGATAAGTTACAC